GGAAATAGTTTGATGGTAGAGTGCCTGCCTAAGCATGTGTGAGATCCTAGGTTCAATTCCTAGTATAGAGGGAAAGAAAAAGATGCCTGCAAGTACTAATCTATCTTGAGCAGCTATCAAAGACAATAAAAATAAAGGGATTATTTTCTGACACTAAAAAAAAAAGAAAACAAAACAATCACAGGCCAATATTAAACTATTAATTTATAACATCACTGCCATCTGTTGGATATGATCAGAATTAGTTTTTCAAGTTATCTCAAGAATGAAAGGGTTTGATGTTTTTTATTTCCTTTTGCCAATACTAGGTAGCTCTGGCCATTGGTAAACTATGGAAAAATTAGAAAATTATTATAGTGCTGGGTGTGCAGTCCAGTGATGAAGTGCAGGCCTAGCATGCACGAGGTCCTAGCTTGGTTTGGTTTCTAGCTCAGAGAGAGAGAAAAGACAAAAGAAATTTTTTTTGCATAAATGTTGGCTGGTTTTCAAACCAATTTTTTTCTTAGAAAATATAATGCAATAAATAAAATAAGATTAATAAGCACTAAAATAATTTAATGTATGCAGTAAAGTAAACATCATAGTTTGCTGTAGTAAATACATAATCAAGTCTCCACCCCTTACACCTAACCAGCAGGATCATGCCAGCCCTGGTTCTTCAGACTCATTCCATATTATCTCCATGGAGAACCAGGTGATTTCCCCTAAATCTTAGAGAACCTTTTATCTCCATTTCTTTGGTTTTTATTTTTTTATTTTTTGTTCTCCTTTTTGACTTTCCACAACAGCAGTGACCCAAGAAAGTTTTGACTGGTAGCATATATAATGGCCACTTTAAAAACCGGATTGATTACTGAGCCTCTGCGGAGACCCCACAAAGCCAGAGATAAATAGTTCTTCTCTGAGGACCATCCTGCTATTGGGTGACCTGTGGCCAGAACCACACAAAGGAAATGGTGGGCTGAATAATGACGATAACCCAGAGACACTCTGGAAAGAAACAGAATGGCCCAAAATTACATGGATGTGTTTGAGTGCGTGGAGGAACTTGTGAATGCTTTCCTTGTATATAGATGACCTGTTATTTTGTAATGTCGGTATTTTTTTTTTAAAAGTTTCTTTACAGGGTTTCGGGGTGTAGCTCAGTGGTATTATTGAAATATATATTCATTCCTGGGTTCTTCTCCAGCACCAAAAATAATTATAAATGAAACCAATTTTGATGCCTACTAGAATTACACATGGGCTAACATGCATTTATTATTTGTAGAGAAAAATGTAAAAGTATCCCACAGACAGAATTTTATATAGTATGTCCAAAGTCAGTAAAGCCAGGACTGCTCTAATCCGGAGACCAAACTCCTTAGCAGTCAGGGTGTTGCCAAGGAGGGGAGACCCCGCCCTTAGAGCTCTGCTTGTTTTCTCTTTTATACTCCCACATAGAGTTGAGGGTAGAAAGGCAATGTTTGTGTGTATTTATTTTTACAATTTCTTTCGTGTTTTTTTTAACTTTAGATTAATGCTTACCCCCTTAGAATCGCTTGTGAGGTGATTCCCCTAACACAGAGAATAGAATAATGCTCATTTTGAAAGAAAAAAAGAAAGCCAGCCAGCCAGCCAGCCAATAAAAATAAAAGAATTTTCCTAAAAGTGTCGAAATGGCAAAGTTTCAGTCCACCCTCTCCGTCCCTTTTGGACCTTTTGGGTAGCTAGAGATGTGTATTTTCATCTTTTGAAAAATGAATTTCTGCCCGTCATCTAGATCATAGACCTGGGCCAACAGGCAGGGGCTCACTTGGAATAAAGAACCTTCTCCTTAGAGCACTTTCCATTAAGAAACACTGGCCATGGAGATCAGCCAGAAAGAGGCGAGCTTGCCCTAGACCTGACGTGCAGGTTGGACCTAAGCAGGTTGGTGCTGTCCTTGTGGCACGCACGGGGTTTCCTTTTCCTAGGAGAAAGGTGCCCAGCAGCACGGGCGCGGACGCGCGTCCTCACACTGCCCCCTGGCGGCGGCTTCGG